ACCTGAATACATTATATAAATCACAGACCAACAGAGAACAGGCCAAAGGCAATCCTGGCTGTCACTGACAGTGTTCCAGAAGTCGACTAGAAAGAGAATTTCAGATCTCCTGACCTCAAAAGACATCTGTTCTATGTAGTTAACATACTGCTATTTATCATTTACACTGAAGTAGTGCACAGAGCTCTCAGGGCTATGCTCCATCATTAAATGTTACTTGTAAATAACATGTATTTACTTATCTGTATCAGTGTTTAAGATGGGAGGCAATCAATGGGTGTAACCAGAGCTAGAAAACAATAATGGAAGAAGGATTTTATAGTAATTAAGAATAAACAACCTGCAGGGACCAAGTGTAAAACTTCGGAATTTCAACTTACTGAGAAAAAAAAATAATCCTTCAGTGTAACTTAACATGAACACCTTTTGCTGGCACTCTTTCTGATTATCTCAATTTTTTTTTTCATTAATTTTAGCACAATCTATTAGACAACGAAGAGAACTGTACTGGATAATTCTATTTTCATCACTCAAGTCATTAATTTTGACTGCACCTTCGATTTAGTTAGATTATCATTCAGCCCCAAGTCATACCATATACAGAATCATGAACTTCGCTCATAGTATTCTCTTCTATTAGTACAAAAAGGCATAATTAATTACAGTACAGTAAGGATATTGGCTGTATACTTTGTCCCAGGAAATGAAAACTTATTTAAGAATAACTTAGTTCTTTTGGGGTTGTAAAGTCAGAAACAGATCTTGTTCCAACACATACCAGAATAAACAGACAATGACACACTGTATACACAAGACACAGTGAAGTTTTCTACATATGATTATAGTCGCTATTTCTATCAGTTGTTAATATCAGTTATACAGATAAAGCTTTTTTTTTTTAATAAAATTCTCTGTAAAATAAACAGTCCTAACCTCATTCTGATTACTATTTTCCACTCAGTCATGAAGGAGACCTTCAAACTCACTTGCCCGAGGCACTGAGAAGCTCCAGGTCTTTGAGGCTCATGAAAGAAAGATAACGATCACTCTTCAGGGGAGAGAGATCTTATTATACATACCCCGTGGGGTTTTTTTATCCTTTATCAAACTGCACCTTTGTGGGCCTTTAATTTCTTAATGGGTTGTTTATCCTTTCCCCCATAATTCATGATGATAAGCTAGATGTCACATAGATATTGTTATGGTGATGAAAAAGTTGTACTGATGAGCTGAGTCAGTGATGTAGTTTGATTAACTTTTTATATAAATCTTTTTAGACAACTTTCCAAAGAAGACAAACCAAGTAAGTTGCTAATGTTACAAATGTTTCAGGAGATTAAAATCTAATGCATACCTATAAGTCTTTGAGTACTAACACTTGAAATAAATAAACATTACCACAGAACTAGGAGGAGATATTAAAGGGATAAAATTCAGTTTATTGTAAAATGAGGGAGCAGAAGTAAATGTACAGAGTGCATGCTGGGACAGTTGTCTCTGCAATGCATGTAGAATGCAGACATACAATGGCATGATAGAAAAGACTTGACAGCATGAGTTTTGGAAAGCAGTATTACTTGTGACTCCATTATTCACTAATAAGTTTATTAGGTGATCTCAGAGAAATGCTAACAAAATCTTTGTACAATGCCACCTTCGTTTGTACCATACATGTCTCTCAAGTCAAAGAAATACTGATTTAGACACTTCTGAGATGTGTTAGATTACCACGAATCCAATTTTCATTTGTAGTAGACATAAAATTGAAGTGCAGTCTCTCTAGATCTTCCAGGCCTATGAATGAATGTTTATACCCTCTTGTTAACAATGCAAAATTCAAATTTCTAGGCATGCAGAACAGTAATGGCCAAGGATGAGAAATAACTTGCCCATTGTAGCCCTTAAACCTATTTGCTTAAAGCTAAACTGGGAAGAGTTGATACTTATTTTAGCAAGTTTTTAGTTACATGCACAGATCCAGTATGAGTGAATGGAAAAACTTATATAAGTAAAAGTTCACCAGTACATTAGTGTTAACACAGTCCTATTTTGCTTAGTTTCCCATTACAGTGTTTGAATTGCCATAAGAAAAGAGAAATGGAAATTGTGATAAAAGTTTATGGTGTCTAAACCTTTTCTCTAATGCTACTCTGGAACATTTCCATCTATGAGCTGCAAGCTATGGCAAGATGAAACATGACAAGAATCATGAAGTAAAGATTTTGGAGAGTTGTTTTCTCTGTCAAATATTTGGCTCATTCCTGAGCCTATAATGCCAGCAATGGAACTTGACAGTGATCTAGTATACCGATGCACAGTATGTATATAATTTGGCATTGCACATTTAAGAACAGTGTATTACCAATTCCCTTTTCAAACAAGCATAAAAGCTGCACCAACACATTAACTAAAAGGGTACCAGCTACTCAAAATTATCAATATCTTGTACTCTTTGCCTCTTTATATTACAGTTTTTGAATATTCCAACATCCAAACACCAAATTTGCTCAAATAAATTAAATTTTCACATAGTTTTTGTGAAGTTGATCTGCTATAAAATGTTATCCATCTTCAGACATTATCATTGCTTTCAGAATTGGAAGACCTACCCCAGTGACAGGAACAAAAAGTGTTAGCAATTGAATTGTTGTGGTTTTTTTTTTTTTTTCCATGGACAGACACCCTTTCCCTTCAGGACTTGCAGGCCAAACATTTCTGAACTAATTATACTGGTGCTGCAACACAGCACTGTAGTAGGAGTTGGTTTCAACCTTAACCACAAAAAGCCTCTCTGAATTAATATATAGGTGTAGACTGCCTTTGATTCTTTTGTAGAGAGTGTCCTCTCCAAGTTACATTTTGTTTGGCGTGCAAAATCCTTTGAATACATATTCAAAAAAAAAATTCTTACTTTGCTTCCAAGTCAAATGACTTATACATGCTTAACATGGTGTTTACATCATGGTGTAAAATGGCTGCTTGTGAAGTACTTCAGAGATCATTCCAGAATACTACCAGTAATTTTAAGTCTACTGGTTTATCATTTCAGTCTACAAGTTTTCTTTGTAAGTTATGTACAGGATAGAGACAACTGTGCTACTGAAGTGCTCCATCCAAAATCCCTGTGATAATTAGTCAAATGTTTTACTGAAATCTCATTAAATTACATCTATAAATGAAACCTGCAGCCTCATTAAGAAAACAAAGTCTGTTTGCCAGGCTCTATTTTTCTGACTATATACACATATGTGTGTGTGCATGTATGTGTGTATAGCAGAACCACAAGTTAATTAGAATTATCTGTCATCATTTAAATTTTTTGTTAACTGACTTTTATATTGGCTGTTCCATATTTTGCTTGTGAAGAGTGTGACATTGATAAATTACCATTAACTCTTTTATTCTTTTAAAGTATCGGAAAACTACCAGCTGTACCCTCTTTATGTGAATGTCTTAGTGTTCCAAGAAATTCTGAATATGAACATCGTTAGTGTATACAACTTCTTGACATGTTCATTCAAAAACTCTCTAATGCCAGTTTTGGTTTAGTAACTGAGGTTGAACAGTCCTTCCATATTATCATTTGAATAGAAAACAACTCATCGATGCCACATAACGTAACTACTTCAGCTGCCATCTTCCCAAATGTGCAGAAGTAGTGTGTGTGTGTGTGTGTGTGTGTGTGTGTGTGTGTTTTAACATACAAAGTTTATTACTAATTATAGTTAAAGCTGACATCATCATTCTTTAATAGGGTCTTCTCACTGTTCAGATCATTTTCTATCATCTTAAAATTCCATTTTCCACATTTTAACTTTGTTGACCACATGTATATTTCCCTTATAACCTTTTACTACCCACAGTAATTTTCTACAGTTCCTACTTACAGTGTATATGTATGATACCACATTTCCTTCTTCTGTTTCATACATGTTTTCCTTGTAAACTACCCTGGGTTTTCAGCAAATGTATTCCCTAGTTGTGGGATTATGTCTTTGTGGGTATCTGGGCTAACATTCTTAAACGGTTTCCAATTATCATTCTCCTATTTCAGATCAAATTCTTTCTCCCGACAGCTTTACCTTATAATGGTATTCACCTTTATAAAATTAGGCCTTGCAAATCATTAAGTATATATATTAGTTTGGACTTAATTCTGTTTGCACATAACAAATGTGATCAAATCATTATGAGTTATATCTGAGGTATGGCTAATTTTTAGTTCTGTGATCAATTCCTTTTCATCTGACAAGATGAGGTCTAATATAGAATTCCCCTGTGTTGGATGCAACACTTTTTGAGTTAGGAAATTGACATTTAAAGTATTTTGAAATGCCAGGTACATTTTAACACAGGCAGCATGAGACCTCCAAGCATATGTCACTCAGATTGAAATTCATCACAGTACAACAGTGTTTTCCCTATATATTGTAGGTGGGTAAGACATAGGTCGTGCTGTTCTCTAGTGTGATTTGATATCAGCTAAGTACTCTGTCAGTTTCTGACTTATCTGTTAGAACATTGACCCATAAACATTCAAGATCATTTGCTTCTGACTGCCATCAACTCAGAGAGAGGTAATGCCATTTTTGAAGTGCTCTCTGTCCACTTGATCCTTCCAAAATACATTATAACAATTGATTTTGACATTGTGGTTTTCCAAACAGTTTTAGCAATAAAAACTAGGTCAAACCTGTGCTAAAAAAAATGATCTCTTCTGCAGGTTTCCAACACCAAAAAATAGGCTACTGAAAAACCTCTGCTCTTTGTATTCTTCAGCATCCTATTATGTTTCTCTTATAATTTTCATTTGCATTTACAAAAAGCTTACTGGTTCCTTCTCACTCTTTCCATTTCTTATAATCTCACAGATTCCTTAGCCGATCTGTCCCCTGGAAGAACAGCTTCTTTGCTACAATAAATTAAACAGCAGGATCTCATCAACAGAAAGCAACAGAAATTTTTCCATTAACCAAAAGCTTTCATGTTATGTCACTTACTTAGCAATTAGGTCTAGACTTTTCTACTTGCTCTTTTCAGTTGCACAAAAGTCCTGAAGGATGTCAGGAAGATCAGAGGTCCCAAAAGAAAAAAAGCCTGCTTATAGCAAGTGTTCATCTATAAACTAAGAGACTGGCCACAAACGTTAAGCATTGGTATGATATTGTCACTGGTTCTTTGCTTGTCAGCTTCAGAAATTCACTTAACTTTGAGACATGCTCCCATTCAGATAAGCTCATTTGGATTTCATTTGAGCTCCAAGAAGCCACACAACCACTCTGTTAGCTGGAGGACCTGTTAATGCAGAGCACTTCGAGTGGTGCTGATTTCTCACAGCTTCCACGTTTTCCATGGTCTAAGTCGGACTTTGCGGCCCACCTGGCCCGCAGGCCTCACCCAGAAGGGAGTCACCAGGCTTGTTCCTCAAGCCCCAACGTTCAGCCGCCCCACGGACACCAAGTGCAGAAGTGCCTCTCACCGGGGCGGACCGAGGCGGTGGCTGGGCCTGAAGGAGGCGGGTTCGGGGAAGGCAGCGAGGCGGAAGGCCGGTCCTCAGCACCGCCCACCCCCGTTACCATGGCGAGGCCGCAAGCGTCCCGGCTACGGGTGGTGGCACCGGGGCCGAAGCCGGCGAGTGAGAAAGGAGCCGCGGCCGTTTGGGGCCACTGGGGGCTCCCTGTGCCCCCCGCCCCCCCCACCCCCCCAAGGGCTCACACGCCGTCTCCTCTTAGGCGGCGGCGGGAGAGTAACGAAGCCATTAAGAGAAGGGTTTGGAGGGCTCGGCAGTGAAGAGCTCATCCTGAAGCCGCAACACCACGGGTAGAGGTCTGTTCCCCTGCAAAGTTCGGTTAATTCTTTCTTATTTCTTTAAAGTGCCTGAGACCGTACCAGAGCCAAGGATGGAGGGTATGTAGGGTAAGAGGACGGTTAACAGGTGAGGAGAACAAAAAGTGTACCTGTTAGTGGCTGCTGAGGGACAGGAAGCAGCAAGGGAAGGCTGTCTTCTGTCACCCACAGCCAGGGCTGGATAGCCACAAAGCCAGAGGAGGTTCAGAACATGGGTCGACTGCCCCAAAACCAAGCGCTGGTCTGGGCTGTGACCTCATCCTGGCTACTTGGACCAAATTCTATCATGAAAGCTGTAAATTTAAAAAAGAAAGAAGTAAATTATTATTTGCTTTAATCAGTCATATCAGTACTTTCAGTGTAATAAAGAAGCATGGCTGTAAGTCAGTCCTGTCACACTCTGACATCCTTTTGTTTTATGAGGTGCTGGGTAGCAGCAAATAGGTTTGCAAAAGGAGCTGGATGTAGTCATGACTACTTCCTAGGCTGCTGCCCCTCAGAAATGCTCAGCTTCCAGTTGTGTTTATGCAGAAAATGTATGGGAAGAATTAGGTGGCAGCAAACATGTTTCCTAAAATGTGCCAGGAAAGACCATTGCGATCAGTTGGTATTTTACCTTTAGCCTCAATGCATGTTGGAGTAATTCCAGCCTCTGGGGAGATTCGCTTCATCATGTGATGAAATACAGCTCTTCTTTAGGAACAAACTGCACTGCCTTGTCTTTTGCTGAAGTCTGTGGGTGCTTGATTAAGTAAATGAGATGTGGCTTGGGCCTTATATTAAAGGAGTAAGATGGAAAGGGATCAGCAGTCTTTAAATGGTCAGCAACAAAATGTATGTGAGTGTAACAGGACACATTTCAGAAGGTTGTGTTGCTTCATGTCTCTCCATGATTGTAATTTACACGTAAAGATTAGAGTTACCTTGGAAATGAGGGAAAACCAGCATTTCACTGTGAAAGCAACCTCCCACTTCTAAAACAAACATTAAATTGGCATTAGTATGAAGCAGAATTATTTTATTTTTTTCCAATCCCAAGCTATGAGTTTGAAATAGGAGTCAGGGCAATTGTTTTAATCCTTGTGAGGCAGTATTGGACTCAGGAAATGTCTGTGTCTGTGCTTCCTGTTAGTGTGAGACCTGTGTGTGCTAAACTGTCCTATCGTACACTTGATGTCTGTGGGGTAGGAACCAGGAGTGTGTGAGCCAGTGAGGAGCTACTGTATGCTCCAGCCAGGTCCCGTGTTGGTGCAACATGGAGCCTGTGACCTGTGGCACAAAACACAGCTACCAATTGATAGCTTTTCATGGTTGCAGTGTCTCCACCAGGGCTTTCCAGGGACTACTTTCAGCAGTTTATCCCTTCCTTTTCTGCACCACAGCTGGAAATGGTCAGCTATTCTGCCTTGCCAAATACAACAGTTGCCATTAAGACATTGTCTACTTGCTTTTTTCTCACGTAATACCTCAAAACTAAGAGGATTGTAGAAAGCTTTGCATCTTCTCTGGGCTTCAATATTGCTGTTCCAAAGTTTAATTACTATTCATCACTGAACAGCATCTTCCTAAAAAGAGATTTTCCTTTCTATATTGCTTGTGAATAGAAACCCATCATTCTCTGTAAAAAGTATAATCTTTTACAGTGATGAATTACCCATATGCTTTTATTCTATTGATTTTGTTTTTCCATCACACACTTCTGTAAAATGCTGCCGTTAACTGTAGGTTAGTTTATTTATAAATAATATTTTTTCTTTCTGTAACAGATGTTAGCATTAGTACTAAGCCCTAAAAGAATGACTTAGGGGAAATATATCCTATCATCTTTTCAGTCTCTAATTGTCTACATTATTCCATTCTAAATAACGCAATTAAAAAATTATTTCACTAAAACTGCAGCAAAATATTGCATCACTGGAATGCCTTTTGATCCCAGAAAGGCTAATACGTAAAATATCTGCTAGTCTGATGCTGAGCATTCAGAATCAAGTTGGTTCATATCTAACATTTATTCCCTGTAAAATAAATTTCCTTTCACTAAATGCAGCAAATGGTTAAATTCTTCCCCCCTTCTATTATATTCTGTTTTCCCATTCCCATTAAAAGTTTCTGCCTTGAGGCCTACCAGCAGGGCATGCAATACCTACATTAAACCAAATTTAAAAGTAAGGGTGCTCCTGCTGCTAACGTCCTCAGATCACAGACATGCAAAATGAAGGAACTGGCAGCTGAAACTTTAATGGTAGGAAGTGTAGACTGAATACTTGGGGAAAAAACACAGTAGCTCTATATGACAAAAAAAAGTCCTATTAGCATTTATGTACTTCAAAATGACAAGCTAGACGATTCTACATAACTGTGGGGCTTTCAGCTTTTGTTTTAAATAAAACCCTGTGTTGTAAGAATAGCTTTACTTAAATTTTCTATTCAAAGGATTGTTATTATTATGATTATGTATTATTTTGAATGTTAATACAGTGCCTGTTGTCGCATTGCACACTGTATGTTCAATCATTTCTCCACCTTATGTATTAACTTAAAATATTACTAATACTTGGATGTAGACAGCTTGAGGAAGAACAGGGAATCATGTGCAAGTAAGGTTCCTGAATTAGTTGTTCCTGTGCAAATCAAAAGCACTCCAGGGAAAAAGAGAAACCCATTGAAAGAAAGATCATGACCATTCGTTCACATTATGTCCTACTGAAGTAATGCTGAGGCCTGAAAAGATTTGTGTGGAACCTGAGTCCAGTTGTACACGTAATGCACTGGGAAAAAAAAGGAAGTTGATTGAGGAGCAGTACACAAAGGATAAGAAACTTTATCATTGTGAAGACATTGTTTCAAGTAAGGTGTGTTTTGTTTGTTTGTTTTAGTTAAAGCAAATATGTTGCCTCAAGCGATCCTGCAAAGCCCAGGGGAGCATCCCAGGTTCATAAAGCAGACTCTTGGCCCCTCGTTAGACCCTGCAAGGTATGCACCTCTTTTCTTTCAGAATTTATGGCAAATAGCTTCAGCCAGCTAAGGTGACAAATTCTGCTTGGGTTTCTTGCAACGTTTAAAACTGCAAAAATCAGAGGCAAAGAATTTCTCTTTTAGGAAATTTTCATAATTAAAAGAGGGGGGAAACCTAAATAGGAAATGTGTTCTGTGTAAGGTAGATACCCTAATTTGTCAAAACCCCTTCAACAGCTGCAGGAAGTTAGCTCTGTTTAGCATTGTTATGAATGTAGGTCATTGAAAATATACTTATTTGGATGAAAAGACAAGATTTTGGTTTTGTTAGTTTTTTGTTCTTTTTTGTTTTTTACTCAGCCACAAAATAGTTTTGCATCTCTCAAAATATGATGAATAAAACTAGCTCGAAAAACATTATCCTGTACTTAATACCTGAGTTAACAACAGTGCTAGGCCATCTTCTTGCAAAAGCCTACAAGGCTCCCTGTTCCATTTCACTCATTTTCATTTTAGTTACTTGCATTCATATATTTTTGTCTCTCTTAGCACTTGTTGGTCTCAGCTACTCTCTGTCCTAGTATGGTCTTTTTCCTGGAACTGCCTTCATTTCAGAAATAATTGTGACTAATTTATTTTTCCTCCTCATTTCCCTAACACCCCCTCCCAACCCCCCATGCCCCCTCAATCACTTTAGCCTTTGGCTGAAAAGTCTGCAACATTTCAGAGTTCAGCAGATGCATGTCCATATCTGAAAGCAGAGAGGATCTAGTAACGTGGAAGCCTTGGGCCCAGTCTCTCAGGGCGGGGGGCTCATATTGCCATATTCTTTGATAGGAAATTTTGAGAAAACTTGAGTTCAAGTTAACAGAATAGGCAGTGAGGATAGAAAGCTTTGTGAGAATCAGTTTGGTCCTTTATGGAACTTTGTTCTGTTCTTTGAATAAAAAGCCAGGTGTATTAATCATGAAGTTTATTTCTAGGAAAAAACCCCAGTAGTTATTTTTTTGTTGTGTAAATTGGTAACAGAAGTAGTGATAGGAAAGCATGGTGTAAAATGGTAACTCTGGAGTAGGTGTCCATTGGATTAAATATATTTTTCTTTAATAAATGAGTTATTTAAAATTAAATAGAAGCCAATTTACAGGTGAAGCAGACTTTTTTATAAACTGTTTATGAAATACTGTGAGTCATCCAGGAAACATTGGGGAAATAAGGTTAAGCCAGTTTGGAAATAGCAAGTGGCAACTTATGGAGGGAAAGAAACAATGCTTCTTTAGCCAGTGCCATCCTCACCTCATTTCTTTATTAACAATCAACATCCATTTCAAGTCGCAGTCCAATTCCTCACATGAATTAAATTTATTGGTTTAAATTCTCATTTCATATTACAAACCATTTTAAATAATGGTTATTCGAGTTGACAAAATTTTTTCCTGTGTATCATCTGCCTATCTTTTCTGTGTTATTACTACATTAACATATTTGATAATAAGAGCCAGAATGAGATAAGAATTTATTGGTTTTACTAACTTTAAAAAAGGTTATTGCAGAACTTATGTAAACAGTAATTGTTTTGCAATTTCTTGCTTTTGGTTTCCCCACCCCCCTTGGCTGTAGTTCTCTTTAAGTTAGAGGGTGTTAGCAAACAGAGCTCAGAAATTTATACCTTGACTATAAGGCAGGTGACATTTTAAATTGTATCTGATTCTAGGGGCTTTCCCCCTGATTGCCTTTTCTTAAAAGACCCTTGAGAAAATTAAGAAAAGGCATCAAGCTTTCCTTTGTTCCAGTTAGGGATGATTTTTAACTGCAGTGTAGATTAAATTGCAGCAAGCTGATAGTGATGCCTAGGAATTTGTTTGTTGTAGTTGACTGTTTCAGTCTGTTTGCACACCCCACCCATGTGTTCTCTAAGTGTGTTCTCTAAGTGCACAAAGCTCATTTTTGCAGTCTTAAAGTACGAAGGTCACTGAGTGTTTATTGTGTTGCCTACTGAACACTTCATATTTAATTATCCAGAGATATTATTTTTCAATTTTTGTATTACCTCATGTAAACCTACTGGATCTTGAAATATATTTTACATCAGATTAAAATATGCAGTTAATTGCCTCACCTTCATTATCCTAATGTATCTTCCTGAATTGTGACTGTTTTGGTGTGAAAATTTTGATATGGATTAAATATTGGTATTGGTTATAACTGAATTTTTATGGCAATATACATAAGGTGTACTTTTTTCATGGTCAGCAGCAGCTCATATGGCTTGTGTTATCTGCAGCTTGAAAGCATAAGCCTCTGTTTGGTGCAGCAGTAGCAATAAGTTCTGAAACAAATTTAAATGTGCTATTTGTGCCAGAAGTTTTTACTATTGCATTGTTTTAAATACAGACATGTCAAAATATCTCTACATTGCTTAGCTATTTTGTTTTCATTTAAATTAACTTCATGAAGTGTCTTTGGTATTCTCAGAGCAATAAGAAGAATGACGCTTATATTAGCTAACATTATGAAAATAATCTAGTGTTATCACTGTCATGAAAGACAGCAGTGTAATACATAGAGAGAAAGAGGAAAGTAGTAGATTTATGTGGAACACTGATGTTGAATTTCTTTTATCTTTGAGTGATTAACCAGACAATCTTCATGCTCTTTTAAAGAAGAATAAAAATAAATTCACATTACTTTTATAAATCTAATATCCTCCAAAGTCAAGATATCAGAATCTATTCAAGTACACTTTATGGTCAGTAAGTATGTATCATCCTTTAAAATTCTAGGCATCTCTTGTGCATCAGAGTGCGGATGCAAAGAGATGATGGCTCAAGTGAAAGGTGAAATGATGTACAGTTCAAAGTTTAAAATTCAATCCATGCGTCCTGAAATTTGCTGTTTATTTTGATGCCCTTTGTATTACCCTGTTAGTGGACCACCTTTTGAAATATGCTGCTTGAAGTGCGGAAAGCTGAGAACAGTGTTAAAGGTCTGCATTGCACTGAGGAAAACATTTTGAGTTGGGTTTGGGACATTTTTTTGCAGAGGTGTTTTTTTTTTAATTTCAAAAATAAATACAAAATTGATTGGACCATTTTGGCCATACTGGTAATGCAAAAATGTAATGGTCCTTCTTTAGAAAACAGTTTAAATATGGACGGCTTAATCAATTATTACTGATTTAGCTAATACACAATTTCTTCTAGTTAAGACAGAAATATGAGGTAACTGGGTCCTAGAAAGCTAATACCACCCCTGTTTTCTTCTAGAAATCAAGATTTAAAATACCTATAGACCGAAAAAATTAACAAGATATTTGCATGTGTTTATAGAATGTCTGATATATTACTTTCTCAGTATTTCAGTATTTAGCTCTGCTTGGCAATGCTAATATATTATACATGCTGCAGAAGTCTATGTTAGCAACTCACAGTGTTTCTTTTAATTTTTTTCATTTAAATTTAGGATTCATTTGATCAAAGACAAAGATGGCATAGATGATTATTTGGCGAAGAATATCAAAGGGCTGTCAAAACAAGAAGCTGCTGCGTAAGTTGGCTTTTTTTTAAGGCATTTTAACATACCTAAGTTTATTGTTTCCTTTGTTTCTACTCATCATAATCATTTAAATTTAAAGTTCCCCAGGCCCTACCCTTTTTAGTGGAACTTGGCATTTAAAATTGAAGTTGATATTAAATAATGATGGTTCATTTCTCCTCATCTTAAATATATCAAAGCATTTAACTCCTCAGTTTTAGCAATTTGTATATTTAACAAAGCATTATATCACATTTGTAACATTATTGTTAAGATTGTGTCAGTAATTATATTTGAAATTGTGTTTCTCCCCCCCCCCCCCCCCTTGCTTTTTTTCCCCTGAGCCTCTGTGAAATATCTCCTCTGGGGTGGAAGCTTTGTATACCGAAATACACATTCTTGTAATTTTGAATTACTATTTAGCCAAGCCCAAGTGCTGACTTCTGTAGTGAAGCATTTAATACACCATTAGTTATTTTAAAACCCAATAAAAGAAAGAAATCTAGATAATTTTTGATTTCTTAGAGCTGAGGTATTTACATTTAGAAGTTACAAGAGACTACAACTGACTTAGTCTTCTGGAGTCTTTTAACAGATCTGGGGTTCAGCACCATCAAAATTAATGAAAAAATTCCAAGAAATCTGAATTGCTGGTTGCTTAAGTGAGATGATTTATTTACTTCAATATTTAAATAATAAAAAGATGCATATACAAGGCCTCTAGGCACCTTAACAATTAATATTGCAAGATCACCCTTGCAGCATAAAAACATTTTATCAGTCAGACAGGAATTCGACCAGTAGTTGCTTGCAAAGCATGCTTCTTTTCTCCTTCCTAGCTGAAAAATGGACCAGCAAACCTTCCCTAAAAACTTTCAAACTAACATCTACCAAATTTGAGTTGAGGGTTAATGACTTTAGCAGTGTCCTAAAACCATACAGATAAGACTCAGCCAGCAGACGCCTCTTTCCTGTAACACATGTCCAATTTGCCTTATTTTTACAATGGTAACATGATAAAGCTAGTAAGTGTTCTGACTGTCAGTACAAAGACTGTAATGTGTCTGGTCTAATGCTCTAGGAAAGCAATCTATTTAAAACAAACTCATACCCCACTTCTTTTATTTGAGTTTTGCCTAGGTTCAAAAATGAAGGACTAAAGATTCACTGAACCAAAGTTCAGTGGTAGGATTGGTCAGGACGCTCTCAATATGCCATTCCAGGGTTTGCAAAGTTCAATTTATTCCTTCGTTTCTGTATGAGAGACTGTTATCATGGTCATGGTCTGTGGGAGAGAGCAGCCTGACAGTGACAGGAAAGTGAGTTAGGGAAGTCCCATGTTACTGCTCTGTGAGTACATGCAGTTGATGTGGGACAGTTAACTTTGATCATGCTGTCGTACTAATTGTGCTAGGTGTCATAGCTGGTTTAAATATTCCCTGCTTAAAGAGAAGGAAACTAAAATTGGTCTGTGACTCAGTCACGTTCTGCATGAGCTGGACCAAAATAAGGAACAGATCTTTCTTGAGCAAATGCTGTGTTGACAAGAGGTCCTGTCCTCTGAATTATGGATAGTGTAGTTGCTCTGTGAGGGGAGGTATATCAAACCCCAGGCAGCAAGCACAGAAATAAGTACATTCATTTATTGTCACCCTAGTTCCATGCCAGCTATGCAGTGCTGCTGTAGTCACTACTCTACAACAATTGTTGTAGAGCAACTGGCCTACCCAGTGACCTGTTTCAGTCTTTAGCCCCAGTGGATTTCCACAGTACACACTCTGTGGTAGGGACAGAAGCATTCTCTGTGATTACACAGGAAGTCACTGCTGTTTTAGTAAGGCCTTGGGGCTTCAAAGTTAAGTTTACAGATCTGATTTGATCATGTCAGCCTTTTACTGCTATTAAAAAAAAAAACAAAAACAAAAACAAAAAAACAAGCCAACAACAACAACAAAAACCCACACCCAAAACCCCTTCCTATACAATTTTACTTTTTATACCCAAACTCTTAGTCTGAAGGTTGTGGAAAAAGAAACCAGCAAGGAAATCCACAATGAAATGAGAATTTTATCATTTTTTCTTCAATACCTACACAAAGTTGGGTGTTTCCTTACTGGTTTGTACTATGCTGTTTTTAAAAGTTATCAAAGCCTCTTGCAAGATTAAACTGATACATGTATTCTAGTTTATTTCTATGGAGTTTTTTTGAGTACATCATTTAAAAGACTATGTTCATGCTCTTTGCATTTAATTATTCTCAGAATTTTAGCTTTTGATAGTAGCTCAGCAGTTACAAAACTTCTATAGCGAGTCATTTACTAGTGCTCTTCCATAAACTTGATACAATCATTTGAGAACAAACAAATGGTAACAAACTAGCAGCTACACAATTAAATTAGTACTAGGATAATATCTTTATAAAAAAACCTAAATGACCAACTGTAATTTTAAATCAGTTTATATACTAAGGCAATGCCATATCTGTAAATGATCTTACTGAAATCGATGTTATCCTTTCTGTGCCTTGGCAGACAACAGAAGTTTTTCTGAAAAAAAAGGGAGAAATGGCTTATAATATGCTATCTATTTCTTTAAATAGTTTCCATTCCAAAAGCGCATTATTGCACTTTTATCTTTATATCTGTATCTTTGTTTAATATGGAGGTTGTCAGTCATTTCTCTTTTAAGAGAAATTCTTGTAGCCACACCCTTCCTTAATATTAAGCACTTTTTGTTTGTTTGTTTTGGGGGGGGAGGAGGAGTTGTACATGTTAGGCAGATTTATTACCTCCTAAATAAAGGCATGTATGGCTAGTAGCATATTTATAGAAAAAAGTAACAATATTTAAATTAAAACTGTTCCCTAAAATTTTGTCCTTCACAATATTCTTTAAAATTATGTTAGTTTCTTCAGAGCTGAAGGAAAAAAGGGTTGCCATTATCCCTCTATTATCCAGTATTGTACTTTATTCCCGACTTCAGCAAATGAGAAAAATTTTGTTGAGTGTGCTTATGTTATAACCTCATTTTTCTGTGAAAAAAATTGGAGATTTTTTTCATTTCTCTTCTTTGTCATAATTTTTGTCCCAGGGTGATATAAGAGGAAGAAAAAACAGTTCTTAAGAAAGATAGTACTTTAATCCTATTGAAACAGGTTATTGCTTTCGTTTTTTTTCATTGACTTTGTTTTCTTTCCTTCTCTAAAAGTTTAACTTGAAATAAGAAATGAATGCAGTGAAAGTAGCTGGAAATGGAAAAAAGTAAAGGTTCCATAAATGCAGCATGTGACTGCTTTCCTGCTACAGCATTAGGCTTTTGTAAGCTTATGACGAGGTTGGCTGACTCCACCGGCCTCCAGTGAGCCTTCCACGATACTTTCTGTTCCTGGCCTTGACTCACCAAATCATTAATGCCTCAAAACTGGGTTGCCAGAAAAACCAAGTAACAGTTCTTTAATCTTCAAATCAATGAAAATTGTCCAGATATGACCATATAATCAAAACAGAGTTAAAGACTAGAAAAAGAGATTTTAAAATCTTTTTTTGATGAAAGGAACACCTCTTCTGAATATTAACAAAAACAAAAAAAAAAAAACCAAAAAAAAACCCAAACAAACAAAAAAACCCCACACCCATTCATGATGCTCCTAGATGTATTTCTGTGATTGGATGATGCAGTTCTAGTATCTTCAGTCAAGACCCTTGGTAATCAGATGATGTCTGAATTATTTTCCAGAGACCTAGACATGGCTTGACCTAGACATGCAGAAAATTTGTGTTTGTATTTTGTGTCTTCTGAGTGGTGGGTCAGTGTGTTATTGCCTTGATAAATTTGTGTCAGTAAAGACAGGCTCTGATATGACTTTTTTAGGAAGGAGATGAGATTATTTTACATGCATTCAATCAGATGGGTTTTGAGACATAGTAGGTTGCTCTGCTTAGAATTCACCAGAAAGCTAGTCCTTTTCAAGATCACCTGGAACACAAAATGGCAAACGCTTTCACCCTCAGGTGGGCTCTATCTCCCAGAGCAATTGCCAGGTATCTGAGCTAATACTGGGAAGATCAACCATTAAACTGGTTTGCAGATTGTATAGCGACAACTGGAATATAATATTTTTGCTCTAGGAGCAAATGGTTTAATATAGTAGCAACCCTTTGCTTCCGTAAATTTTTGTCCTTCTCTTCAGATAGAGCAAAGGGATTTTAATCTGAATTTAGCTGATACAGAGGACTAGGTTAATCGCCACATATAATCAATTTAAATAATTAAGAATAAGTACTTTGATTAGTTAAACCCAATCTTTTAAGATTTACAAAACTGCTTTAGAACAGGGTGGATTATACTTTTGAAGCACCTGTTCCATAGCTTACATAGAGAACTTAAGGTGACCAGCTCAAGTGTAAACATATAAATATACCATTAAATCCTACACTGGAGAACTACTCAATTTTGAAACTTGTAAAAAGGACCAGGTAGAAGTCTTACAGCTGTGTTCACTACTTCCTGCAGTGGCATTTCTACAAGAAGCTGGCAAGTCCAGAACAGAAGTGACCTGGCATCTATTTTACAACTTCTGTTTGTGCCATCTGCTAGAAGGTTATTTTTCCATTCCTCAAAGAGAGAATGAAAAGGGACAAATTCATTACTTCCTTCCCCACCCCCTTCCCCCCTCCAAGTTTCTGCTGTTTTCAGTGTCAGTATAAGCTACGTACAGTTAAGGAAAAAAGATGCTGGAAATAAATGAGTGAGTAATTGTGAGTACTCAAGATAAATTTGTGGAAATAAAAGATTTCTTTCCTACATCCTTACTTCTACTACCAATTTGGCTTTGAATATTCAACCCCATCTGTCCTCCAAGACTACAGGAAGAAACCTCCTCACCTGATTAGAGGCCAGAATGATTTGGAGAGTCCATTGCAGGAGAAGGATGGGATTTGTGGGCTGATGGAGAAGAGGAGGACTAGCTTGAAGGGTGTTCTGTTCCTTATTTTCATTGTAGCCATGTGTCC